ATTCTTTTTGTGATCTCCAGCCTGATAACCAAGAGGGCTACTAAGGGACGCACAGGTGGGCAGTGTCTACAGTGTGGATACACTGGACAAAGATAATTTATGTCCTAGGCGGACTGCATGAGATTTCATCACACTATTCAGAACAGCAAACAATGTAAAACTTATGAACTGTTTATTTCTGGAATTTCCATGTCATATTTTTGGTCTACAGGTAACTGAAACCAGGGAAAGCAAAACCACAAATAGGGGGGGAATGACTGTATGGTGTTGCATGCTGTAAAATGTGATAAGAGGAGAGATCTTATGTCACATGCTCATGTTACACGTTATGTACATCTTATGTTACATGTTCTTACAAAAAAAAAAAAAAACACAAAACAGCAAAGGGACACAAGAAAACTTGTGAAGGTGATGGATCTGTTTATTACCTTGACTGTGGTGATGGTATCAGGGGGTATATACAAGCCTATCGAACTGTATGCATTAAATATGTGCAAGGCTATTGTGTATATCAATTATATCTCAATAAAGATTTAAAAAACACTGAGGAAAAAAGTCAAAATGAAGACTTTCTGGCAGCTCCAACTATTACATAATGAAGAAAAACACAGTGAACTGTTGTTATGAGAAGACAAATGTATACACCCAGCATACTTCTGGTTCCAAGATGGCATTTTAAGAACATAAGGTTACTCCTGGGAGCTGTGGTGGTTCACGCCTGTAATCCCAGCACTTTAGAAGGCCAAGGCAGTAAGATCCCTTGAGACCAGAAGTTTGAGACCAGCCTGGGCAACATAGCAAGACCCTGTCTCTACCAAAAAAAAAAAAAAAAGAATTAGCCAGGCACGATGGCATAGGGTGCCTCTAGTCCCAGTTATTCAAGAGGCTGAGATGGGAAGATCACTTGAGCCCAAGAGTTTAAGACCAGCCTGGGCAACATAGTGATACCTTGTCTCTATAAAAAATTTTAAAAATCAGCCAGGCATGGTGGCACATACCTGTGGAGGTGGGAGGATTGCTTGATCCTGGGAGGTAGAGGCTGCAGTGAGCTGTGATCACACCACTGCACTGCAGCCTAGGTGACAAAACAACATCTTGCCTCTTAAAATTTTACATATATATATATATGGAGCCGGGTGCAGTGGCTCACTCCTGTAATCCCAGCACTTTGGGAGGCTGAGGCAGGCGGATCACGAGATCAGGAGATGGAGACCATCCTGGCTAACACGGTGAAACCCCGTCTCTACTAAAAATACAAAAAATCAGCCGATGTGTGGTGGGCGCCTGTAGTCCCAGCTACTCAGGAGGCTGAGGCAGGAGGATGGCGTGAACCCAGAAGGCGGAGCTTGCAGCGAGCCGAGATCGCGCTACTGCACTCCAGCCTGGGCGAGAGAGCGAGACTCCGCCCCCCCCAAAAATTATATATATATACACACACACACACACACATATATATATAATTTTTAAAAAGAACTATGAAAATTCAAGGATGAAAAGGCACCCCATTTTTAAATAGGCAATGGATCTTAACTGATATTTCTCCAAGGAAGATATGCAAATGCCCAAAAGCACATGACAAGATGCTCAACATCATTAGGGAAATACAAATTAAAATCACAATGAGATATCACTGCATATCCAGTAGGATGGTTACAATCCAAAAGACAGATAGCAACAGCATTGATGGAGATGTGGAGAAACTCCTATACATCGCATGTGGAAATGTAAGTTGATGTCATCGCTTCTGAAAACAGTCTGGCAGTTCTTCAAAAGGCCAATTATAGACTTATGTGTGATTCAACAATTACACTCCTAGGAATACACCCCCCAAAAAATGAGAACATGTCCACAGAAAAACTTGTACATGAATGTTTACAGCAACATTACTCATAATAGCCAAAAGGTGAAGCAACCAAAACGTCCATCAAGGGTGAATAGACAAAATGTGGTAATATCCATAAACTGGAATATTATATGACGATAAAAATTAATGAAATATTAATATATTGTAGAACATGGATGAACCTTGAAAGTATGCTAAGTGAAAAAACCCAGTAACAAAAAAATCACGTTGTGTATCATTTCACTTACATGAAATGTCCAGAATAGGCAAATCTGTAGAAAGTACATCAGTGGTTGCCAGGGGCTGGGGGATATACAGTGTTTGTAAGTGACAGCTAAGGGATGTGAGGTTTCTTTTTGGGGGTGATGAAAAGATTCTAAAATGGATAATGCTGACGGGTGTCCAATTTTATGAATATACTAAAACCCTTTGAACTGTACATTTTAAATGGGTGAATTATATGTTATATAGATTAAATCTCAATAAATCCTTTTTTTAAAAGGGAAATGAACATTTCTGCATCTTTACTGGGTCTCCAACTGATAAGTTCCCCAAGGCAGGAGTCCTTTGTCTTCCTTATAACCTTCTCAACCCACCCTTTCTTCCTTCCAAAGATGATGCTTAAATAACAAAGACACCTCCTAGCAAAGCTGCTATAAAAATCTTTGTAGCAGATGAGGGGATTGGTTCCTGGTTTGACATTCATACTTAAATCAGAGAGGCTCTCTCATATTAAATCTCTCTCCACTCCAGATATGTGAGTACCAAGAATTTATGAAAAAAAATTAAGTTTCTGCTTGTTTCTAAAGTAGCTTCTTTCTGCTTCTTTCCAGACCATCAGAAACCACACTTAAAGATATTCTGGATCCACCTTGGGCATTCTGGAAACTCTTCCATTCTCTTCTAGTGTCTATGGAAGAGTAGACACTATGTTTCACCAGCAGGTGTCACTGTCTTACCTTTGAGCTTCCAGTACCAACCTCATAGGCACCAGCTGCCCAGGAGGGCAGTTCCCTGATGCATGGTGTGGGCTACAAATAAACAGTGACTTTCTTCCAAAGAGTACAGTACAGAAAGGCAGGGAGAAAGAGTAATGGTACAGTGAAGAAAGCTGACCAGCACTACCTCAAGTCAGGTGATGGAGGTTCACATCAATAGTGATGCACACTGTTGACAGCATGTGCCCTGGATAGGAGGTGATGAGGGTGGCAGCTCGCCTCTGTGGTTTCCTCCCCAAACACATTACCCCAGTCGGGAAAGCCATCAGACAAATGTCAACTGAGGGACAGTCTACAAAATCCCTGACTAGTACTCCTCAAAACAGTCATGGTCATCCAAAAAAGGGAAAGCCTGAGAAACTGTCACAACCAAGAAGAGCCTAAGGAGACATGACTGCTAAATAAAATGTGGGATCCTGGGTAGGAACAGAAAAAGGAACTTGGGCCGGGCGTGGTGGCTCACACCTGTAATCCCAGCACTTTGGGAGGTCGAGGTGGGAGGATCACCTGAGGTCAGGGGTTAGAGACCAGCCTGGCCAACACGGTGAAATTCTGTCTTTACTAAAAATACAAAAATTAGCTGGGCGTGGTGGTGCACACCTGTAATCCCAACTACTCGGGAAGCTGAGGCAGGAGAATCGCTTGAACCCTGGAGGCAGAGGTTGCAGTGAGCCGAGATCACGCCACTGCACTCCAGCCTGGGTGACAGAGCTAAACTCCATCTCAAAATAAAAAAAAGAAAGAAAGAAAGAAAGAAAGAAAAATAAAAAGGAACTTGGGATAGTTAATAATGGTGTTTATTTCATAATAATGACTGGCTCATTGTGACAAACGTGCCACACTAATATAAAACGTTAATACCGGATATGAGATTTGAGAATTCTCTCTACTACCTTCACAATAATTCTGGAATTCTGATAATGTTCTAAAATGCAGTTTATTTTTAAAAAATTATTCACTAGCTGCCAATTTTGCCACCTTAAGGTTCTATTTTAAGGCATATTCCCAACTGTTTAAAAGCTACTGTTTCCTCTTCAGGCATGTTTTTAAGTGATTAGAAGACAGAAAAAACAAAACTTCAGGCTCGGAGAGCAGAAAGGGTATGTGGGAAAAAAGGAGATGCTCTGAGAAAGAACTGAGTTCCAGGTGAGAGCCACCATTCCTATCACAGTACTAGCAACGTGGCTCTTTTCACCCTGAAAACCGAGAAAGCTACCAGTGCGTTCACAACATACACAGCCTTTTCTAACCATGGGGAAAAAAAGGCTGGGAGATGCGGTGGTAACAGAAAGCTGGTAGTGCTAGGAAGTTAACATTCAACAAAGGTTTTTGCTGAAAGATAAATCAGCCCCTCTGAGGAGTTTTATGACTCAAACTGCTCTAAGGCCCCCAAGGCCCAAAGAAACATCTGGCAGCCAAACCATTATTATTTCTAGTTTTAACAAAAGTAGTCAAAAAAGTACTCAATATAAATGTTGAGGCCAGATGCGGTGGCTCATACCTGTAATCCCAGGACTTTGGGAGGCCGAGGCGGGTGGATAACCTGAGATCAGCAGTTCGAGACTAGCCTGGCCAACATGGCAAAACCCCGTCTCTACTAAAAATACAAAAATTAGCCGGGCATGGTGGCGGGCTCCTGTAACCCCAGCTACTCAGGAGGCTGGGGCAGGTGATCCGCTTGAACCCGGGAGGCGGAGGTTGCAGTGAGCTGAGATCATGCCACTGCACCCCAGCCTGGTCAAGAGAGTGAGACTCTGTCTCAAAAAAAAAAAAGATTTATATTTCTTTTGTTCTGGTTCTGTTTTTTAAAAACTGTGCAGATGGAAGCACTGGAGTAGATAAATGTCACGTTGCTTCAATAAATAGAGTTAGGTGGTTTCCTTTTTAAATGAAAAACTGTGGTTGAAATGGATTCTGTACTAGATTTCTGCTCCTGTGCCTAAAGAAAAGCCCAGCCAGCTGCAAAACTGGCTTACTATATAGCAAATCAGAAACCAAAACCTAATAGGTGAAGTATTATATACAGTGTCCATTAACATGTTTTACATACGTTTGCTGGGTGAGTCTGGGATAATTGAAGGGATGAGAGTTGAGCGAACCCCTTCAGGAAAGACAACACAGGACAAGTGAGAAACAAGCTGCAGTGACTTACTACCTACGGGAATGAGATGAGTGGGCTGGGATTCTTCCAGTTTGCTCCTCAACCAGTCAAAATCCTGGTACCTTCGACGAACAGAATATTCTGGCAGGTCAAACTCCACCCGAGTACTCTGCAAAGAAGAGAATGGAAAAAAAATAAGCATAAGGGAAGAGCATATCTTGGCTGAAAGGAAGGAAAAAAAGCTCTCTTAGAATAACCAAACTAGGCAAGATCATATTTTCCTGCCACCAAACACACCAGCCAAATGGCAGAGTTTACTAACATAGAATAGACCAGTCTGGGACACAGAGCCCAGTTAAAAATTCAAGGAGCTGGAATAAAAATGCCAGTTTTCCGAGATTGCGCCACTGCACTCCAGCCTGGGTGACAGAGAGAGACTCTGTCTTTAAACAGTTTTTTTCCCCCTACCCTCAGGAAATAGATTTCAACTATTACCAGAATTGTTTAGAAGCATTTGATTCATTTCCTCCAAGCTTAACTCTAACAATTTCTTTTAGCAGAAAAATTCCACTTAGGATATTGCTACTAAATCCAAATCTGTGAAAAGAAAATGTCTCCACCTTCTGCTAAATATGCTGACAAGTTTTGCCAAAGGGGAAATCAACAAAAAGTAAAGATAATAGATCACTGCTCATTTCGAGAGCAGACTAGATGAAAATAGAAAAAGTTCTGCTCAATCTGCCACATTCTGCCAGAACCGGAACCTTGAAACTGTTATATTTTAGATAAGAAAAAATCTAGAAATAATACAAAAATGCCATTGTATTGCAGAAAAATATTAATAATCTCATCCCTTTTTCTCAATTTTTAAAGTTTTCTGAAGTGTGACTGCAGCACTTCAACAATGAAAATCAATGTTAAATAAAATTAAGTTGATTTATACCAAAACAAGATTTTTACTCCCTTACTGGCCCAAATTAAATCGTGTCTCACATAAGCCATTTTTCCCTATGAGGGTACAGACTACATGACTGTCACGGTTCTCAGAAATTAAAGTACAAGATAAAAATGGGTCAAGCTACATCTCATAAATTTACTCTTTCAAGCCAAAAGTCGGTTTTAATTCACAACACCAAGAAAATCTTTAAGCACATGAATGAGAGTCATTCATCAAAGAAAAAGCTGTGACCAGCTCTGGCATCAAAAATTATGATTTCATCCTCCCCAAAACCTGTGTTCACAGTCTTAGCAAAATGGTGAAGTTCAAGGACTCGGTCTTGGACTGACCCCCAACTAACCGCATTGTTTCCCCTCTTCAAGCCCCAAACACCAGCATATGCCTATGAAACACAATCTTCCCCTGTTCTTGCAAGGGTGAAATGTGGGGACATTCATTCAATGTAGGTAATTGTGACTTATCAGATGATTTTCCCAAAGGAATTAGCATTGTAGGATTGGAGAGAGGAAAAAAAGACAACACTTAAATCCAGAGAGCAAGTCATTGTTGACGAATTTTCAAGCACAGCATGACAGAAATATTGGGAACAAGTGGCCTGATACTCCCATCCCCGCACCACACAGGCAGCGTGGGAAGGACTCTGTGCCTATGCAGTTCTTGCATCCCTAGCAGATCCCTGACTTGTCACTAAGCCTCCTTGAGCCCTACCTAGGTTCAACAGTAAGAAGAGAGTCACGGCAGGGCTTGGTGGCTCATGCCTGCAATCCCTGCCCTTTAAGAGGCCAAGAAGGAAGGATCAGCTTGAGCCCTAGAGTTTAAGACCAGCCTGGACAACAGAGCAAGACCCCATCTCTGAAAAAAAAAAAAAGTTTTAAATTAGCCAGGTGTGGTAGTGCATACTTGTAGTCCCTACTACTCAGAGGCTGCGGAGGGAGGATCGTCTGAGTCCAGAAGGTCGAGACTGCAGTGAGCTGACTGTGCCACTGCACTTCAGCCTGGGCAAAAGAGTGAGACCCTGTCTCAAAAAAACAAAAACAGAGTTGGAAGGGAAGTTCAAGACCTCCCACCTCCCCCACCAGGCTCCATGTGAGAACCTGTCAATGATTATGGGCTAATGAAAGGCATATTTTGAAAGGTGACAAATTAAAGCAACTCATATTCATTGTAAACCAAACTGATGCAAGGCTCTACTTTTTGCCTTCTTAAATGTTACACGATTATCGGCTGGGCACGGTGGCTCATACCTGTAATCCCAGCACTTTGGGATTACAGGATCCACCAAGGCCGATGGATCATTTGGGGTTGGGAGTTCAAGATCGGGTGTAAGACATTGTTGTTTTGGGGGAGGGTTTTCTGAGAAAGAGTCTCACTCTGTCGTCCAGGCTGGAGTACAGTGGTGTGATCTCGGCTCACTGCAACCACCACCTCCCAGGTCCAAGTGATTCTCCTGCCTCAGCCTCCAAAGTAGCTGGGAATACAGGCGTGCGCCACCACATCCAGCTAATTCTCATGTTCAAGATCAGCCTGGCCAACATGGTGAAACCCCATCTCTATTAAAAATACAAAAATTAGCCAGGTGTGGTGGCAGGTACCTGTAATCCCAGCTACTCAGGAGGCTGAGGCACGAGAATTGCTTGAACCCCAGAGGTGGAGGTTGCAGTGAGTCAAGACTGCACCACTGCAGCCTTGGTCAAGAGAGCAAGAGATTGTCTCAAAAAAAAAAAAAAAAAAGTTACACGATTAACTAATCATTTCTCTTATGTTTTTCAGATCCATTTAATAAATTACAGTTTATGTAATATTTCTACTCTAACTTTGAAATCATTTTTGGTAACTACAAAAGATAGCACAATAGAACACACGTTTTATTTTTGCCACAACCAATTTCACTTTTGGGGAACAGGCTTTTTTTTTCCTTCTATTTATTCAGGTTTATACTTATTTTAAAACTTCGAGAAAAATAAATAGAAAATAAAAGATCAGCCATAATTCCCCTAGAGAAAAACACAATTAACATGGCTTATATGTTTTCATATTTTTTCTATGAATATTCATTCATTTACTCATTGTCTGTATCTCTTTAGCATACCTTGGACATCTTTCTACAGCAGTAAGTTCAGATGTACATAGTCTTTTTAACACAAATATAGTATTCCACTGAATGGTTACACGATAATTAAACCAAATCCCCATTTAAGTTGTTTCCAATTTTTCCATTAATAAGCAATGCTTTTGGAAACATCATTGAGCACCTGATAATTCCCTTAAAATAAATTCCTAAAGATAGAATTGCTGGAAAATAGTGTACATACACTTTTTAATTGACAAACTACTTTCAGAAATACAGCAATGTATATTCTTATCACATATTATCAGGAACTAGTTATCTTTGGTGGACTGATAAATGAAAAATAACACATCATCTTTGTTTACAGTTGTTTCTTTAATTACCATTGGGGTTGAACGTCCTTTCAAATGTTTATTGGCCAAAAGAAGAAAGTATTTTTCTTCTTTTATGAGGTGTCTTTTTAAAAACTGTAAGTCCAGCCAGGCGCAATGGCTCATGCCTGTAATCCTAGCACTTTGGGAGGCCGAGGCAGGGAGATAGCTTGAGTCCAGGAGTTCAAGACTAGCCTGAGCAACATGGCAAAACCCATCTCTACAAAAAATACAAAAATTAGCCGGGCATGGTGGCATGCATCTGTGGTCCCTGCTACTCAGGAGGCTGAGGTGGGAGGATTGCTTGAGCCTGGGAGGCAGAGGTTGCAGCTAGCCAAGACTGCACCACTGCACTCCAGTGTGAGCCACAGAGTAAGACCTCATCTCAACCAAAATAAAAAAATAAATAAAAATTGTGAGTCAAGTCTTTTTCATTTGTATAAGTTCTTTATTACCATTTGCCTATCATAATTTCCAAATGGTTTGATACAGAATCTTTCCATCGTTTTATTGTTGATTTCATCCATATTTTCCCTTTATGCTATTTTTGGGGTCATCAATAAGAAGGCCATCCCCACTGCAAGCTTATAAAAATATTCACCTATAGTCTCTATGATTTTCTTTTTAGTTATGTCTAATCACTGCTTTTCTACTTCTAGAAATTTACCACTGGAAAATAATGTCTAAACTGTGGCAAGGATATTTGCATAATGATCTTCATTGCAATATTATTTAAATCAGTGAAGAATCAAAGCAACCTAAATATTCAACAATAAAAAGCTATTAATGAAATTATGGCATATTTATTCTATGGTTGTCAGTAATTTTGTTGGTAAGACTTTTTTTTTGTTTGTTTAATTTAGATAAGAGCCAGGTGTGGTGGCTCATGCCTGTAATCCCAGCACTTAGGAGGCCGAGGCAGGTGGATCACTTGAAGTCAGGAGTTCAAGACCAGCCTGGCCAACATGGTGAAACCCTGTCTCTACTAAAAATACAAAAATTAGCCAAGCCAGGTGGTGTGCACCTGTAGTCTCAGCTACTCTACTTGGGAGGCTGAGGCAAGAGAACTGCTTGTATCTGGGAGGCAGAGGATGCAGTGAGTCAAGATCGCGCCACTGCACTCCAGCCCGGGCGACAGAGCGAGACTTTGTCTCAAAAAAAAAAAAAAAAAAAAAAAAAAAAAAGTAAATACAGTCCCCCAGGCTGGAGGGCAGTGACACAATCATAGCTCACTGTAGCCTCAAACTCCTGGGCTCAGGCAATCTTCCCACCTCAGCCTCCCAAGTACCTGGACTACAGGCACATGCCACCATATCTGGCTGATTTTGGGGGCTTTTTTTGTTTTTTGTTTTTGTAGAGATAGGGATCTCACTATGCTGCCCAGGCTGGTCTCTAACTCCTGACCTTAAGCAATCCTCTGTCTCAGCCTCCCAAAGTGCTGGGATTACAGGCATGAGCCACCACAACCAGGGTGTAAGACATTGCTGTTTTGTGGCGGGGCGGGGGGGTGGGTTGGAGACAGTCTCACTCTGTTGACCAGACTAGAGTATAGTGGCATGATCTTGGCTCACTGCAACCTCCACCTCCCAGGTTCAAGTAATTCTCCTGCCTCACCCTCCCAAGTAGCTGGGACTACAGGTGCCCACCACCACACCCAGATAATTTTTATATTTTTAGTAGAGATGGGGTTTCACCATGTTGACCAGGCTGGTCTCAAATTCCTGACCTCAAGTGATCCACCCACCTCAGCATCCCAAAGTGCTGGGATTATA